GATAGATAGATAGATAGATAGATAGATAGATAGATAGATTAGATAGATAGATAGATAATGTAAGTTAATCAGACAAAACACAGAAAAGGATGTTGGGTACTCCCCACTTAACTCAATCCGATGTGCAGAGGAGACTAAAATAACAAACCAGAAAAACCGTTTCCAGATGTGCTGTGAATGGTGAAGGCCAGCTCAGCGTAGCGGCGTGTTCAGCAGCTCTGGCGAAACCCCAGTCACTTCCCCAGAACACAGTCTTCATCCTTCTGGTTTTTACCCATCAATCCTGACTGTATCCCCTCTACTCCAGAATATGGTGTTTATCTCCTAGTCTTTATCTCAGGATCTGGTGATTTTCTCTTGGTTGTGGGCCTGGAATTCAGTATATGTTTCTAGTTATATGTCTTTATCCCAGACACTGTTCTTTATCTTCAGGTCTTAATTCCAAGTACAGTCTTTATATTAAAACTGAAATAACTCTTCATCTGCTGAGTCCTACAATCAGGTATTTGTTAAAGAATAAAACTGGAACTAAAGAGTTATGTCCACATTTAAAGTGAATCATCACTTCCATTCATATTTCCATTCATTATCAATTTCCACAGCTTTCCTCAATCTTGAGTTTAATCTGAACCCTTAGTGTTAATACAAACAGATTGGTGTGTTTGCATATGCATGCCATGATTAAATGGGTCTCTCTTCACCAAGAGGAATGCTGTAGACTGTTTTCTTATGCAGCTCTTTTCTGTGCAAATCTAGACAATCTGAATTTATACATCATTTGCCGTCCATCAAACTAGTACTGCATCATGGCAGCGATATAGGCGGCACAAAGCGAATCCCTCCTTACCAGCTAATAATATGTGATATTAACCTCCTCACAGCTCAGATTGAGGGCAGCCCGACAATAAAAAGAGGTCATCTGTCTCAGGTCAGGAATTCCATCAGACGTTCCATTGCCGTGTGTCCAGGTTGCTCCGAAAGAGCCTCTAATTGCCCCCATGTGGATGACGGCTGACTCCACAATCAATCACAACCTTGCAAGTTGGCAGAGACCTCGGCAGCCAGAGGGGCAGCTTTCACACTGGGGCCAAAGGTGGGATGCTGTTTGGGTTGCCGAGTTTTGGCTCAGAGGCAAGAGCACAGACCTTGGAGTCATGAGCCCCGAGGTGTGGTTTCAACCATGGTAGATGCTAAATGCTGGAATCATCTGGAAACTATGGGGAGCATCATTGTTCTTCCAGATGGGGTTTTCAGGTAGATTTACCCCAAGATCCATTATCTTGGTTACTATCACCAGACTGGAACCTGTAGGCTGTTTATCTTTATAGCAGCATATGTGTTGTTTGTTTTATGCAGAATTCTTGCATTTCTGTCTCCCTTGTAGGTCATAATGCTGGTCTTCTGGGTGCTGGGCACTTTCTTCCTGTCCATGGTGGTGCCCAGCTTCTCTCAAAGCGGGGATGGGGAGCTGGGTTCAGGGGAGGTCTATCTGAATATGAGCCGAGGCCCTTCCATCGAGCCCAAGGATGCTCCAAATGAGAGCGAGTTGGACCAGGAGACAGACCCTGACCGCTGCTCTGCGAGCTTCTACAGGTGCCCTGCCTCCGCTCGCCGCCTCAAAGCCATGAGGGATGAGGTTCACTACCTCCAGGCCATCCAGCATGGCAACCAGGCTGTGATGGAGAACCTGATCCAGTATGTCAGCACTGAGATGGGTGATCAGAGCTACCAAGAGGTGATCCAGGAGAACATTGTTGGAATCAAAGAAGACCACCTTAATCTTGAGGAGGTGGTTAAGAAGATTGTAGAAGATTTGGAAACCCAGTTGGAGGGGGGTATCCTGGAGTCATTGGCAGAGAAAAACAAGTAAGTTACCCCTCTCCCACACAAACCCACTCGGACAAACTGCTCACACTGGTTTTCTTCAAAACAACATCAAGCTAAGTGAGTTAGGCTAAGTTAAAGTTTAAGTGCAATCTGAGAAGGTATTTCTCTATGTATTCAGTTATTGACCACATTGGTCATCTTTGTCAAAAATGAACTCAGCTTTCCAACTTATCATACTGGAAGGGTCAGAATAATGTTGACTGGCTTGTCAAGGCCCAGGGAGACTAGATTCCCTCTATACTGAGCACAAAGCCTGATGGAACACAGTCATGAGAAATGCTAGGATGTTGTGTCCTTGAAAGTTGCTAATTTGAATCCCAAGCTAGGCAGGGTGATGTCACTGTTGGGCCCTTGAGCAAGGTCCTTGTCCCCCAAATGCTCCAAGGACTGACAGATCTTAATTTCTGAAGTGTAGATCACGGTGGATTCAGGACTGGACAATATAAATGACATATTGACTGTCATATAAAATTTAAATAATGAGAAATTTAGGTAAACTGTTGATGAGGAGCATTGCCTTATAGCAGGGTTTCTCAATCCAGTCCTTGGGTTGCCCAATTGCCAGGGAATTTGGAGAGAGCAAAAACGTGAACCGGCTGGTGGTCCCCGAGGACTGGGTCAGGAAACCCCGCCTTACAGCACACATCCCCCTTGTCACATCATAGAAATGAATGCAATACCCACCAGTCATGCGGTAGTCTTTTAAGAATGGATAACCTACATCTAAAAACACAGCAAGGTTGATTGAGTTAGCCGCATGCTTCGGTTTTGTAAATGTCATGAATGAGGTAAGTGCTCCCTCAGAGCAAACTTCAAGTGTTGGTGAAGAAAGCAACAGCTCAGCAAACACAACATTAAACAGGAAATACTGATAAACGTACAAAGATATCGGTGCCGTGGCAGTAGGCTAGTTTTTTGCAGTATAAAGTCCGACATGCAACAGATTGTTGCTGTGCACCGTGTAGAAACACCAGCAATTAGGGATTCCACTTTCAATATGGAGAAATATGGGACAAATCGCATCCTATATTGGTTAAAAGCAGGACACCACATTTCATTTTGCTTTACATGACAGGTGATATTTCTACTGGCAATACACGTGTTCCCTGAAACCAGCAGCAAGGCAGTCAGAGGAAAAAAACAAGCAACAAACTGTACAGTCAGCATTTTCTACTGCTGTGCCCTATGGCAAAAAACGTTTATTTTTGTATGATTATTTTATTAAAATGAGACTTCAGTTTGCAGTCCATTCAATTTGCTGCATTTTTTAAGGGGTATTCTAAGGGAATTTCTAGAAAAAATGGAGCCTAAAAGCAGGGTCATTAAGGTTGACAAAAACTAAGGCTGTAAGAAAACATTTTCATTATCTGAAATGATAGAAGACTTGGAAATAAAATTTAAAAACTACAACTGAACAAAACCTATAAATATTGTTTCCGAAAGTAACTGAAATAAAATAAAAACGTCAAACACTTTTAAATTATTATAAAAAATACCTGGAATATGTTTTGCCCGTTTTGAGGACAGTATATACTGAGCACTGTGCCTTCATATAAAATTACTAAAACTTAAAATGTAGCTAAAATACTTAAAGGCTAAACAGAACTACAGTCATGTGAAAAAATTAGGACACCTTTTAAATATTTGGTACTTCACACAGCTTAAGGAATTCTGCACTGGAGAGTGGGGAAAACTTTCTGCCAGTGATTTCAAAGATTGATATATGGTTTCGAAAATGTCTTATTGACGTTATTTCGGCCAAAGGGGGACATACTAGCTATTAGGGCACAGAGTTTTCCTCTGTGGAGATTCCCATCAGTACATTTCCTCTGCTAAATAATTTTTTTTCTTCTCTTGTTTTTGCATAGGTGATACAATTACATCACCTTTATCTACAGATATAATTTGAAAGATTTAATATTGATATTTAAGAACTATTTTTCACATGACTATATATCTTAATACTAAAACATAACAAAAACCACAATACACAAAAACTAACTAAAACTAAATTGGATTTCACATAATTGAAACAATAAAATTTTTAAATCAAAACTACAATAACACTGCCTTGAAATAAATAACTTGATAAAAATGACTTGAATTATTGTCAGAGGTGCCGTCGGGCAAGCAGGAAATCAGGAGCAAGGAAACGGAAAGTCAGGGAATACGGGGTTTAAGTGGAACAAGCAGACGAGTCTACACACGGCTCTCGACGTCAGTGATGGAACTGGGGATACACACTCTGACGTGGACTTAAATGCACAGGACTTAATGAAACAACAAGAAACAGCTGATAACATCGGGGTTTCACATGAGGTTAACAAGGGGGGCGTGGCACACAGGAGGACCATAAGAGCCCCCCCCCCCAAAGGCGCACCTAAGGGGAGCAAAGCGGCGAGACCAGGGACACAAGACCTGGAAAACAAAAGCAAAACATCAACAGGACACCGGGAACAGGACAGACACACAAAACAGGCACAGGGACAAAAAGCAGGACAACCACTGACACACCACAGAGAAGGCAGACAGGCAGAGGGGCACCAAAAAAATGAGACACAGGGAGAACATCGACGGGAGGTACGAAAGGGCCAGGAGTGAGCAAAGGAGAACCGGAGGGATGAGGAGCAGACATAGGGGGGCACAAAACCGGGAGGTAGGAAGGCAGACGAGGGGAAACGGGGAGCCTAAGGGAACCCCAGTGGGCAAAAGGGGGCAGCCGTAGGGGCCACAGGCAACCGGGAGGCCGGAGCAGGAGGGACCCTCATAGAGAGCGAGGAGATAGGTGGAGGAACAGGCAGAGGAGGCAAGGAGGGAGTCAGAGGGGGCACCAGGGGAGGCGAGGAGGAAGACGGAGGGGACTTCAGCGCAGGCAAGGAGGCAGGCAAAGCCGCAGCAGGCGACGGCGTAGCCACAGCCGGCGAAGGCACAGCCAAACAACAAGGCGGAGTAGAGGGACCCGCAGGCCATCAGCAAGTCAAGACGGGGGAACCCGTAGGCGACCAATGAGGCATCAGAGGCTGGGCCAAAGATGGCCGACGAGGTGCCGGAGGGGGACCCGCAGGCGACCGCCAAGCGGGAGCCCAGGGAACCATCAGGCGACTGCCGAGCCACAGCCACAGGGACCGAGGGCAAGCCAGGGGGCCGGGCGGGTGGGACACGACCCCGGCCAAGGTGTCCTCTCCCTTTCTGGGAGACTGAAAAGTGGGGACCTGGCCAGGATCTACCATGCTGTGGTGGTGGCTGGGGAGTTACTTCCCCGAAGTCCAGTGGGGTCCAGTGGGGGTTCTCTCCCTTTCTCCCCCCCCATCAGAGAAATCCCCAAATGGTCCCATTCAAGCTCCTCCTCCCCCAAGGGGAAAGGAGCGGTGGTCGAGTAGTCCAGGACCTCCTTGGGGGACTTGGACTGGGGTCATGGGAGCTGGTGACACAGGTACAGGTGATCAGGAGTTGGGGAATTGGAACCTCAGGAACAGGAACCACCAGGGCAGGAGTCACAGGGAGCAGATCAGGAGTCACGGGAACAGTGGGAGGTGGAGCATTATCTGCCGGTACTGAAGCAGGAGGCAGAGGAACCTCGGGCGGTGAAGCAGGAGGCGCAGGAACCTTCGGCGGCGAAGCAAGAGGTGCAGGAACCATAGGGGGCGCTGCATCATCTGCCGGCACAGGAATCACTGGGGCTGGAGCCGGAGCTGGCGTCCGGGAAGCCGGCGCTGCCCCTTTAAGAGCCTTGGGGATCCGTGATATGGCATCCCAAATGGACCTGGCTCCTTTAAGGGCCAGGCACGTTCCTGGAAAGGGGCAAGCTGCCAATCCAGGCAGCAAAGCGGCAGGTGGGAAACAGCGGCAGTTAAATCCTCCAGAGCGAACACCTCTGGATTTAAAATCGGGAGGGCCTCCTCTGAAGTTACGATGGGGGAGGAAGCGGAGATCGAGACAGCCCCCAAGAATATTACCGGGCCGTCCTCCGGTCGATGTTGTCTCCACTTCTTTTTTCTCCGGCTGGCAGCTTTCGGTGGAATCCGGGGTGCTTCTGGGGGCTCGGAGGACGAAGCGGGAGGCAGATCGGCAGTACGGGCCACCTGCCGAGTTGTCAGCTCCGTTATCCTCCGCAGCAGCTGCCAGAGATTATCGCGTACCTCCAGGGCGAGGTGCGCGTCTTCAACCATGGACATCCGCTCCAGGATGTCCCGGTTTCGGCTGGCTAGCGCCCAAGCCTCGAGATCCTCTTCGACTTCGGGCTGGTTGAGCCAGTAGGTGACCTCATCAACCAAACCAAGATATCGAGCCTCGGTCAGGGGGGGGGGTACCTTTTTTGCGAGTTCCGTCATTCTGTCAGAGGCGCCGTCGGGCAAGCAGGAAATCAGGAGCAGGAAAACGGAAAGTCGGGGAATACAGGGTTTATTAAGTGGAACAAGCAGACGAGTCTACACACGGCTAACGACGTTAATGATGGAACTGGAGATGCACACTCTGACGTGGACTTAAATACACAGGACTGAATGAAACAAGAAGAAACAGCTGTTAACATCAGGGTTTCACATGAGGTTAACGAGGGGGGCGTGGCACACAGGAGGACCGCAAGAGCCAGGCGTGACAATTATAGCATGATAATTATCGACATTGACTGACATGAAAAAACTTTAGCGTGATAAAATATTTTTCCATATCGGCCAGGTGTACTTTCAACAAAAGCATCCGATAAATAAATCAATGTAAAGATAAGAGTCAGGTCAGCCACCCAGCTCTGCCTCACAAAGGTTGCTGTGAAGAACCCAAATATGTCTGTCCGTGAACTCAGACAGGGCACAAGCTCCTCTGCACTCATTGACCACTGTCATGTGATCTTTTCAGAATCTTAGAGGAGTCCCTGGCCATTGAGACCATGCTATCGGCTGCTGCAGGCATGGCCCAGAAGCTGGAGGGCTCGGCACAGACACTCTATTCTTCTTTCACCAAGCAGCTAAAAAGGCCCGTTGTCACTCTCCACTGAGCCCTCAAAACTTGCTCTCTGTTTGCTGTACTTGGAAATAGTATGAATGTCTTAATGACTTGTGGTTTTACCTGGTTTACAGCTGCCTGCATTGTACAATGAGTACAGCTTGGCAAGGTGCTCATTCCATTTTTACACTAAGCAGGAATGAGCCTGAACAAGAATGAACAAGGCTGGACCAGGCTTAATTTACTTGTTTTCCTATTATAATTATGAACTGCAGGGTTGAATGATGTACAAATGTTGTGTCATAGACCGAGTTAAAATGATTAGCTAACCTTATGGCATAGCATCCAGAAACTGTCCGTTAAGAACAGAAATGAATATCGACAAAATAATACATTTTAAAAAAAAAATACAAATGCACGATCCCAGTTGGGTTCAGATTTATTGAACAAATCAGCCCCTTCCTTGGGATTACCTTCAAATGAAAAGCTTTTGATTTTTGCTTCACATTTTTGTAACACAAACAACAAGGGACTTGTACTATACTAAGCGCTATGAAAAGAAACATTTCTCATTAAAGTGTGACAACTCCATACACCACTGGAGAAATATCCCGCAAAGTACTGTAAATGTACATGTGTGCTTGAGTTTCTGTTACTTCACTTTTACACCATGTACTGAAATCACATGAAACTTTGAACGGTTTAAGGAACAGGTCACAAAAACTCCGTGGAATGTTACAGATTCTTGCCGTCTTTTTAGTATAGTTGGTGACGGCAGAACAAATTCTACGGCACGCCTGATATATTTGGAAACACAGAAGCAGCCTCTTTGGAATATACAGCATAATACACTTTGTACATTTATACAGAGAAGTTATGATGAGCTTTAATTTTCATAGATAATTTTTCACTGAGCAGCAATATATATATATATATATATATATATATATAAATTACAGTTTATTTTCAGCATTTCCCATAATTCTATCATACCTATATAGTTTTTTATATATATAACAAGCACTATTTGTATGATATTTATACAAATACAGCAGATTTGCAACTGTTGTTGATAAAACACATCGATAAACTACATCATTTGGGGTGCTGGGCTCTTACAAAAATATGCTTTTATCATAATACCTTATGCTTGTTACATTTATTGAACTAGATTAATAGGTGAAGGGCATTTTGTTTTGTGGGGGGGCTTGTATTTTGCTGTGGGTCATCGTGGGTTTGGTTAGTCTCAGCTCAGCTTCCTTAGAGCAGGACTGGGACGGACAGGGACACCGAGAGCAGCCCATAGCCCTAAGTGCGGAGGCGGGCAGTGTCCCGAAGACGTGCGGGTGAATCGTGAAGGTCAGCCCGAGGGTGGCTACTTTTACTACCTCTACAACACGTCCGTTGTGTCGGATGTCAGGTTTGTGATCCAAGGTCAGCTGCGGCTGCATTTGTAAAGATACTTAGCGCATGTCCGCACTGAAATGCTTTCCGACTTATTTCTATATGTTGAGCCCTAATAAACTTTTAATTTACCATGCATCATAAATGTGGTGTTCGTCGTTTTTTTTCTGTTGTCATTTCCTGTGCATCGCTGGATGAGCAGCGCAGTGTTAGGATCTATTTCTTACTTTGCTACGTATAAACGGTGACCTGTATGGAGCCCAGTGTTTTGAATGAAAAAATGTGTTCATTAGAAAAATCACTAAAATTCCTTCTTTCTTAAAGTAATACCTCCTTCTGGGGTTGTACTGTAGATCTTACTCCATACTTTGCGACAATAATGCTTATTTCACGCTTCGTTGGAGACCTTTTTCGACTAGATTATCTTGAATTCGTGTCAGTTCGCTGTTAACTATAGTTACTTCAGAAATAAGGGTCAAAATCGATTTTAATCTAGCGTCCGTCAGTTTATCTGCTATAACATTACCCTTAAAGAAGAAGGAATGAGGCTCGTTGAGTTGTTATAGTGGAGAGGAAATCCTGGATCAGTTGAAATAAATCCAACACTTTCATTGGTACAGTATATAGGCTATGCCCCTGCGTAGAGGCTGCTTTGCTAAGGAAATTCAAGTCTTTTATTAATTTTTAATCCCTATTTTTATTTTGAGTGTCTGCCCTCTAGCTGCTCTCGGTAACAATTGCAATAACAGCGTAAGGCGCCGCTTCTCTTAGAGTGATTTCCCGTGGGTCGCATTGCAGAACTGAAAAGTTGGCAACACTAAATTCTCCTGGTCTTCTCCGTCAGCTGGAACACGTTTATTTCCGCTTTGCTTGTAAGAAATAACATTTAAAAATAAAGAAATAGAATGACGTGTGTGCAAATGTTAAAGCTGAGGTCTAGTTGCCAAAAGGCCTTGATTGAATGAGTCAAGAAGCGAAATGCAGCCTATATTAATCATAATAAATCATATGAAGATTTGTAATTATCTGTTACGGTGATTGTAGCTCGAGGCAAACCATATCCGTAATTAAGCCAAACCCAGACTTCACTTCGTGTAGGAAGACATCACTATTATATTATTATAATTGCTCTGTTTTTCTGCCATTAACCACAGGCGACTTTAAAATATCACCGCCTTGTATCGTTTCCACTGTTGATGAGCTTACAACCGCTCAGACAGTTTAATTTTAATAGAAAAGTTTACATGTTAATATCGGAAAGAGGGTAACATAAATTTTATGATTATCTGAAGAACATGAAACACTGGATTCCCGTCTCCTACCTTGCGAACAATTACAACGTTTTTCCCGCGGTGTACAAATTTGCAGAACCCTGCACTTCCAGGGCTGCAGAAAAGCACTCGGGGGTCTTTTATACGGTTTGACAGCCATCGCCAGGTATATGTCCCTTTGCCAGCCCGTCAGCTGCTCTTGTTTGCGATTGATGGATGATCTGTAAAGCCGGGTCCCTCCTCTGCTTCCTGACATCACTCAGCTTCGGAGCTGCAGAGGGAGATACCGGGGGGGACTACCTCCACTTTGCCTCCTGGCTGGGAGCGCTCCACTCCTAGACAAGGAGAAATAAAGGAATTAACCAAGAATCAGCACTACATACAATGTATGGGGAGAAGGCAAGGCGAGAACAAAAATGTATGCAATTTCTTCCTAATATATAATTTCTTGGAGTATAGAACGGCAATTTTAAATATATATACTTGTTTTAGCATATTGTGGACACCATTCTCCTAGGAGGTAAGAAGCTACATGTTCTGTTTCTTTATTCTTACGTTTTTATTACTTGCTTGATAAAAACGGGTCTAGACATTACTTTTGCTGTAGCCTGGTAACTTGTTGATATGTGTACAAATGGAAATAAAACATCTTGGGAATGAAGGACGATCGAGTGCCTCTTTTAACAAATTACCCATCTAAGCATGACGCCTCAGGGAAGCCCTTTCCGTAGTAAACGGTGAATCCGGAATTATTTGATTTTTTTTCAGTGAGAAACCTATCAGAAATGTTACTGAACGGATAAATTGTCAATTTCTCTTCTATCTAAACCTACCTGCCGTCATAGCGCGCAGACCATAAGCACATATTAGCGCTGTCTGTTATTTTGTTTAATATGAACTTGACTTGCAAAACAAGTTTGTTGAGCTACGAGTCTGATTTCACTGGTGTCCGGTAACATAATATAGCCTAAATGTTGTGCGTCTTTATTATGTCTTGCAGGTTATGTGACAGAGAAGCGCGATGTGAAAAACACTTAAAAGGATTATGGAGAAATGCCGGCATCCAGATTTTTAATGCTCCTGGACAAATTACTTACGTTACATTTATATGAAAACGCTGAAAAAAACTTCGCAAGTGTTTTTTTTTAAAGTTTGTATTATTGATAAATACGCCGTTTCAAGTGTGACCCACCTCTGAATTAATAATATAAGGATACTTTCTGCATTTCAGCACTATTGAAGGGATAGTTCCAGTTTGACAACATGCAAATTTGCATGGAGAGAATGAAACAGAGATAAATAAAATATTTGGTCAAAAACGTTTTTTAAAACGTTTTGGATTCGCACTTTATGTTAAAAAATATCCGACTAATACCAAATCTCCCCTAATTTCCAATAAAAATGTTGCAGGAATTGCAAGAAAAAAATGTTTTTTTTTTGTTTTGTTTTTTTTTACTCATTTCAAAACGAGAGGATTTACGAAAGATGAAACTGAAGATCCAGTTTTACCCAAAAATCTTTTTCTGCGGTATCACCTACCCGGAAAATTAAAGCGTATGTTTCCTAAAGAAGTTCACATTAACTCCGACTGGGTGCAATATGGGGCGCGATTTCGTCACCCTGAAAATAGTACTCCTCTGTGGTTTTCTTCTATGTAAATCAAGTAAGTGTGCAATTCACTTTACCTCACATTTGTCGTTAAAGCCATGTATGTTCCGGCAATAAATATATTGCCTCATTGATAAGTTTGGTCTTAATTTAGCTCACTGTAATTAGTGCTGGACTGCTGCTTAATAATAGGATGCATTATCCATTATAATCCCTTCTTGGATTTCTGCTACAGCCACAACTATAAGCTAATGTTTATTTGAGTCAAAGATACAAATATCTTTGCAGAAAAATATAATTTGTCTTTACATTTGACCATTTATGTCTCACGGGCTATGTATATAAACATTTGTTCCTAATTATCAATCAGTTTCATGATTTTGCAGCAAAGTTTTCATCTGAACTGTGCAAGCAGGTTAAATATGAATGTGTATTTGAGATTGTGCCCTAAATTTCAGTAAACAACCATTTGTTATATTATATCTAATTTCTGCTGGTGTTCTCACCTAGAGATCTCAGCACCCTGACTGGTGCTCCTTGAGCTTGAAAGGAGCTGCTGACAGAGGGCAAGTTTAACGTTAAATCACCGAGCGCCTCAGGGTGGCAGAGAGCCCAAAAAACATACTGGGCACTGAGGAGATGTTTGAGTTTGGAGATCACAGCCACATTCTCGTCAGCTGACGAACCACTTTGATCTTCTCTTGATGAGAGCTTCTGTCAATGCAGCAGACCAACTTTCCACCCTGCAGTTTAACAAATTCAGTGCTTCTCCAGCACAATGCTGAAGCTCATATGGCCATTCACCAGATCAAATCCATTGCATCTCCAGCACAATGCTGAAGCTCATATGGCCATTCACCAGATCAAATCCAGTGCTTCTCCAGCACAATGCTGAAGCTCATATGGCCATTCACCAGATCAAATCCAGTGCATCTCCAGCACAATGCTGAAGCTCATATGGCCATTCACCAAATGAAATACAGGGCATCTCCAGCACAAACCTTCATTCACCAAATCAAATTTAAGTCCCTGACATCTATATTATTACCCAAACAAGTTTATCGAAAGTTGCGAGACAGGTCAGCTAACATGTCAAAATCTACAGCAGGATAATCACTTGTAAAATATCTGTTAAAAGTCATCAATGTAAAAGACCTATTTAATATGTGCTCTGCATTTAAAAAGTGATTTGAGAGTTTAACGTTTCAATCTTCATAGCGTCAAACTTAGGTTCTTACATATCCTATACATCTCTTATAAGAAGTATTCCTATATTTTGTTCATTGACTCCCTTGACTATTACCATGCTTCCTGAGTTGATTAGAGTGTGATAATTCGTGTTGACAGTCTCTCATTAAGACTTTAAAACTTTTGTGAAGTTTCCTTTCGGGAGGGGTTTGGAAAGTTAAATATTCTGTGTCTGAAATGTCTGTTACTTTACAACTGCTTTTTTCATGAATGACTGTGAAGAATTCCAGGTTTTAGAAACGATTCAGTGCAGATGCGTCGGTGATGTATTTTGTTTCATTCTGATTAATCTAGCAGTTTTCAACGAAGTCACAAACAGTATAAAAAAATAATTAATGCAAACTACTGTCCCGAAAGGCAATTTGAAAAACATGTGACATGAGAAGCAACACTCTGACAGGTGTCATCAAATGTTTCCAGAGCTGGAACGATGTTGTAGCATCTTATTTGCGTTTTGTGGACATACAAAGACCCAAGGAGGTAACAGCCAGCCTCCCGTGTGCTCTGCCTCGCAGTATTCTGCCTCGAGAAGACCCACTCACACGCGGAGGACGAGCTCTTCAAAAAGCTCTTCGTCGGCTACAACAAATGGTCCAGGCCTGTGCCGAATATCTCTGACGTGGTAATCGTTAAGTTTGGGCTCTCTATAGCCCAACTCATAGACGTGGTGAGTAACTGCTAAGGTGGATGCTTGTCCGTCTTGACCATCTTACTAGTTTGTTAAAAGATGATACTTTAAATTGCAGATTTTTTTATCTGTAGAATAACTTCAGTTGGAAAATTTGCTCCAGGCTGATTTCTTTATCTATCTATCTTTTTGTCCTTGCAATGTTTCATTCCAGCCAAGACATGTTTCATTCAATTATTGCCTTATGCCTCTTGGGGTGTTTTAAAATGATAAAAGATTATTCATCAAACCTCAAAGACCTTCCTTTAGCACAGCTTTAGTCATTCATCCACCTCGTCATTTAGGATATTAAACTGAAGATGGGGCTGGCTGCCCTTCGCAGCTGTGATGACCCCCCCCCCCCCAAAGAGTCCAGCTGCCAGACTCACCCCACTCTCTTGTCCCTTTTCTCTGCAGGATGAGAAGAATCAGATGATGACAACCAATGTGTGGCTGAAGCAGGTGAGATTTGAGGAAGCTCAGCTGACTGCCCCTGGGGAGGGAGAGGTTTCTGAGCTGGGGGGCACCTTCTGATTTCACCTCACACTCCACCATCAAATTTTCTCTTTCCCTCTCATTCACCAGCGATACAAACTGGAATCACATCTGATATGTCAATACGAAAGGCTTACCTTATGTCTTTTGTCTTTATTTTTATAATTTGCATGTTTTTCATGAAGGAAAATAATGTGAACATAAGTGATTTAAGGTAATATAGTATCTGTTTGTATCTGTTAGTATGGATGTCAGCCAAATTTGTAGAATAATAGCATCAGATTGTAGGTGTTCCTTGTGGGCTGTGAACATTACTTGTCTCCTAGGAATGGAATGATTATAAACTACAGTGGAAGCCGTCAGATTACGACAACGTGACATCGATCCGGGTTCCCTCCGAGCTTATCTGGGTCCCCGATATCGTCCTGTACAACAAGTGAGTGTACTGAGCGGGGGGATAGTGAAGAGGCTTCTGTATGCTTCCACAAAATTCACCTATAACAGGGAAATCCTGAATTTTTCTTGGGGGTATTTTTAATTTTTATTTTTAATTTTTAATGGCAGTTTTCCTTGTATAGCTTTGGGTCAACTTCCTGGGATTTTCACACAGTATGGTGTCTAGAGTTTACACAGAATGGCGTGACCAACACAACCATCCAGTCAATGGCATTTCTGTGACTGAAAGCACCTAGTTAATTAATAAGGTAGCAGGAGAAAGGCAAGACTTGTTAAAAATAATGGGCACAGACACAAGTACAAAAACAACAGCTTAGTGTAAGACTGGTGTGCAGATTGGCCTCTTTGAATTCATGTCTCGTCTACCTTTGAAGAGATATTGAAGGTAAAAATGGGTCCTGCCCGGTACTACAGTATCTACGGCGTGTGCGTCATGGCAACAACTGTCAAAGCTGCATTATCCTGCCATCTAGTGTTCATATCTTAAATTGCAGTTTGAAAAAGTATAAGCTGTACAAGGGACCAAATGTTCAAGACACAATGTATACTCAGACTTCAGCTTTGTGATATAATCACACAGTTAAGGATACATGCCTTGCGTTTCACTGTTGATGGTTAGGTAGCATGGTTACTGTTTTTCTGTCCCTCAGTGCGGATGGGGAATTTGCTGTGACGCACATGACCAAAGCGCATCTCTTCTACACTGGATTGGTCCGCTGGGTGCCGCCGGCCATCTACAAGAGCTCCTGCAGCATCGACGTCACCTTCTTCCCCTTCGACCAGCAGAACTGCAAGATGAAGTTCGGCTCCTGGACTTACGACAAAGCGAAGATTGACCTGGAGCGCATTGAGAACACGGTGGACCTGAAGGACTATTGGGAGAGCGGGGAGTGGGCCATCATAAATGCTGTAGGCACCTACAACACCAAGAAGTACGACTGCTGTCATGAGATCTACCCAGACATCACCTACTACTTCATCATCCGCCGACTACCCCTCTTCTACACCATCAACCTCATCATCCCTTGCTTGCTGATCTCCTGCCTAACTGTGCTGGTCTTCTACCTGCCTTCAGACTGTGGGGAGAAGATCACCCTCTGCATCTCAGTGCTGCTGTCCCTCACCGTCTTCCTCCTGCTTATCACCGAGATCATCCCTTCCACCTCGCTGGTCATCCCACTCATCGGGGAGTACCTCCTGTTCACCATGATCTTCGTCACCCTCTCCATCGTGATCACTGTCTTTGTGCTGAACGTGCATCACCGTTCCCCCAGCACCCACAAGATGCCCCACTGGGTGCACTCGGTCTTCCTGGAGTTCATTCCACGGTGGCTCTTCATGAAAAGGCCCGTCCCGGACGAGAGGCGTCGCCGGCTGCTGCAGCACCGGACCCAGCCCCGATGCCGGAATGTCCACCTGAGTACTTCCAAAAGCTGGCTGCAGGAGACGGACGTTGGCGGGCGCTGCAGCGATGTGGAGCTGGGCGCCCTGGCCCCCTTGCATCTCGCCTCGCCTCGCCAGCGTGCTTACAGCCCGCTACTCCACAAGCAGAACCTCCAGTCTCGGCTAGAGGGTGTAGCAAGGCAGCTGGGGGGAAGGGTCGACCCCAACAAACGCAGCTTCAAGATTGACAACTTGGTGTCGGACGCCACTCTCGCGCTCTCCCCCAGTGTCGTCCGCGCTCTGGAAGGGGTGCACTACATCGCAGAACACCTAAGAGCAGAGGATGCCGACTTCTCTGTGAGTGCCTCTCATCTGTAGACCTTACATGAAGGACTGGTTTCTTTAGCTTAGAAAACAATCTCAAACTTAAGAATAGCGAGACGGTTGTCACACATTCTAAGTCCTCAGTGGTTTTTCGATTCGGTTTCGATCGTGGCCACTGTTTGGTTTCAAGTTCCTCTCTTCCTTTTGCAGGTGAAGGAGGACTGGAAATATGTCGCCATGGTGATCGACCGCATCTTCCTGTGGATGTTTATCATCGTCTGCCTGCTAGGCACCATCGGACTCTTCCTGCCTCCTTGGCTGGCAGGCATGATTTAGACCCACGTTCCACCCTGCATCACAGACTCATGCGGGCGTTTCCCAAACCGGGAAGCCGACCATGAATCCTTAGAAGTAAAACAATCCGGTTTTTCAGTGAGGGCACACCTTAAATCAGATGGGGGGTTCTTGTTTACCTGGTAGTTTGCCAAGACCTATTTCTCTCTATCCAAAAATCACACTGTGGCTGGGATTTACACGCGCATAGTATATGTTATTTTTAAAAGCTGCCATGTACTGTATAATAAAAGATTACCAAATGATTTATGAAGTTTATGTAACACATACACATTTCTATTGTGTAAAAATATTTCCTTTCTCAGGTCATTAAGTCATTAAGCATATATCTCACACAGGTAAGGGCATAACTTTGAGTTGAGCATTGGGGGAAATGCTCTCCCAAGACCAGGCCATTAGGAGGTCAATGGGAGCCATGAAAGCAATGACCTAGAGGGAAGAGACTTGATGACAATTCATCACTGACACCGGAGTCTGCGACCCACATCCAGCAGGTCTTGGGAGAACATTTCCTCCACATCCTGGCTGCAGGCGCGAGGTGTCAGAAAGCAGGGGGGGGGGGGCACACATCTTTTTTGGGACCTAAAAATGAGTCCAACCAGCATCTCCAAATTGCCTGAAATTTCCAGGATTTTGTATTGTTTCATGCTGACATTTGCTTTCTACAGTCAGAATATTTTATGTGAAGATTTGTTCTGCTTTGACACACTTCTTTACGTTCTGTCCCCCCAACAATGGGCACCCAAAGGAATCATACATGCAGTGAGTGGGACACGTCTGTTTTTTTCCCCCAGACGGAACTGGGAAAACATCAGACTGACTAGAAAAAATAATTATTCTGATATGACAGGTAAAAGGCACTATAGAGTAATTACGCCAGTCTTTTTAATTAATACCATAAACATACAATCCAAATTTACAGATTACAACTGCAGTAAAAATATTTTTATTGCAGCTATTAAATATAAAATTAATGAAAAAATATTCATTCTAAAATAATTTTTCATGTCATAATACCCTGCTCAGAATTGGAAGAATTTTTCCAAAGTATGAATCATTTAAGTCTTTGTTTTGCACAGATGGTACAATACTGTCAGTTTATTTAATCTGTTTAATTGGCACATCCGCTCCATTTGGTTTATTTGCAACTTTGCGCGCGTGTGTGTTCGTGTGTGTGTGGGTGAGAGAGACAGCATGTATCTCCGAGTCCTTATTAAAAACAGCTGTACCATAAAAACCTATTAAAGCAACCGGAATGTTAGTTGTGAGGGAGATGACCGTCTCCCTTCAGTTCCTGTGCCCAACAGGCAATGGCAGCCAGCATGTCACTGTCACTGGGCACTTTGGCCCCTCGGCCCGTGCCGCCTACGGGTCCTCCGGCTTAGGTCTGGCCACGTTGGCGCGCACGCGGGCCTGGTCCACCGCGTCCAGCAGGTTCTTGGCATCCATGGCCAGCGTGTGGGCGGCGGCCAGCATCTGCTTCTTGCACTCCTCTTTCAGGGAGGTGACGGCGTTCTGCTGCGCCAGACGCATCTTGCTGATCAGCTCCGCCATGTCTTTGTTCAGCAGCTTCTGAGTGCCTTCGATCTGTGGGGAGAGACGATCACGGCGTACGTCACCATCTCTGTACCATGACTGTTAGTGCTGTTCCTACTATTCCACGTTCTTCTTCTTTCGGACAATAAAGTAATTGACGCGAGACTTCTTTCCACTTTCCAAACTCTTTAGTATGTCAACATACCACAGTACAAACTGCAAAGTTCTTTCAATATCGAAACAATATGTTTTTGTAACCACGGTCAAAGAGTGTTGCGCCCTCAGTCCCATACAGCACTACCGTAATTTTTACGGCACGTAACCCGTGACGTCAGACAATTCTTCATATCCGGCAAACAATATTAAACTGTCACTCCTTTAAACATTACTATAATATTATACTTCACAAAGAAACAACATCATATTCTCTTATCTATACTATGGCTCTAACAATGACTGTCCTTTTCGTGCACGAAAGGGCCTACCTACTACAGATGCCATCATCCCAAGACCTATGCTAAAGGTCTGGGGACATTATGATCTATCTGTCAGCTTTTAAAAATGAAGCTTTTCATAAGGAGGAGCGGATCAATGATCAGCAACACTCTGCAGAGTCCGCCAGGGAGCGGACGTCCAAGAACCACACATCCTTGTGCAGAACCGTGGATCCCCGCCCGGTTCTGAGGGAAGGAGTGACACCCGTGAGGGGGCAGAGGTTACAGAAAGTGAGGAGTGGCCTCAGGCCAAGTACCTCAGTCCTGATGGAATCATGGAGAGTCGGGAGGACTTGGTCCACACTGTTAATGAGGCTCCGCAGGGTCAGGCCGACCGACTGAAACAGACAGACACAGGCAAAATTACAACCGTCACATCAGAAGAAAAAATAATGTCACAAACAGGGGCAAATAAATGGATGGGCTATCCTAGGCTATAGCCTAAGCCCCAGCAATCAGGGCTCCACATTGCCTTGGAAAAAGTACTAAATCATTAGCACCTGAGTGTCCATGCTGATATCAGCTTAGAGCCTCCAGATAAGTTAATCCACTACTGGTCATACAGATCGCTTTTCAAAAAATCTATATAGAAGATCTAAACATCTGTTAACAATGGGTCAAACATATGATAATGAATAATTAAAAAGTTTCTATGGAATCTAGAAACACCACCAAGAGATACTGATATTATCGCTGAAGCTCCCTAATCTACAAATGGTTTCTACCTGCATTTGAATATAACAACAACAGATGGTAGACAGTAGCTATGTTACATGGTGCATGTGCATTGCATGTCACTGCTAGCATGTACTTCCTGTCTTTGACTCGCAGTCCCTGGGGGGGATGGTGTCAACCACCCTTGAAGTGACAGACCACCCACAACAAGAGATCTATAGGGCTGAAAGGGGAGGAGACAGGAGGTAGAGAAAGATTCCCTACAGCTGTCGCAGGATCCATGAGTGTGTCTGTATGTTTTTTATGGGTGTAGGTCTGGGCGGAGCTTCAAAACTTTCCTCTCACGCTACCATTGTAAACATCATAAAAATAAGCTGCACTGCAGCCAGGTTCAATCAAGAGGGACTGAAGAAGATCAGATACCAAACAACAAACAAAATGTACTGGTGTTAGGGCATAAACAATGCCAACAGAGAAGAGCCCACTTCACTCAGCATGTACCCAGGCTGATAAAGGGATCTGCAACACTCTTCCAGTTCAGCCCCAAACGTTCACAGAAGAGTCTGTGAATGTGCAATGTCCATCCATCCATCCATCCATCAACCATTTAACCAGTACACAGTCACCCGGAATACACAATTCTTGGTATGAGTAGATCTTTCAAAATTAGTGAAAGAACCGAGGCTCTCTGACTGCAAAGGCGATTGCTGAGAGAGAAAACGAAATTGATGTTGGTAAATGCAAGAGTTTCACGTCAATATGCGGCCTTTAACTTCATAATGATGTGGATTCACAGCTAGATACTGAATACATTTATGCATATATGTTTGACACAATCATCTTTGGCTAATTTCCCTATGCATGTGCCCTAAGCCACTGTCATCAACTACATTCTAAATTAATCATAATTTGCACCTTATTTTCAGAGATACGTTTTGGTTTGTGAAGGCCGGAAATTCAATTTCCATACTAACATCAAAAGAGGAATCTTTGTATTACTCACCTTGGTTCAACAGTGATTACAAATGCATCTTCTCTCTCTATTCCTCTCCTCCTTTTTCTGCTAATCTCCCAGCCATGTCAATTAACCAAGAATGCCTTCTGTTGGCCAGCAATGGATGATGCGCTGCACTCCCATATTAATATCTGAGTAGCTACTAGCCAGCAACTTAACTGAAAGGGTTTAATGCCCTTACTGATTATATGCTTGAGCTGATTCTCTTTGGGCATATTAATTATTAACAATGCACTTATCTGCTCTGACCCAATGTCATTTTGGACATAAATGTACTATTAGTCTCAATACTCCAGTGCAGAAGATGAATAGACCCCATAATAAGTTTTGTATGCATTTTCAGCTAAAGAGTTTGCAATTCTGATGCACTGAATACCTAACTGGAAAATGCTAATACTGCTATTTGTTAAATAAGGCCACTTTAATTAACTGCCAGCCTGGAAGAGGGCCGACAACCATGAACGTTAAAGACTTGGCTTTTCCGAGGGAATAAATCTTTTTTCACATCATTGTACGCGTGAAACGCAAACACTAATGGCTGCCATGACCATCCCCGTCCCACCTCACCTTGACCACACCAACATACTCAGACGGCTGTAGCATGTTGACATCGTTCTTCAGCTGCACCACCATCTTCACCAGCTCCATAATGAAGTGGTACACCTGGTCGTTGGAGCGGTCCATCTCTGCAGTGGGGGCCGGCTGCGAGGGGGCAGGGCAGAGAGTGAGCCAGTCAGGCCGCTGACGTTGTGACACAGAGTGAGACCTCTCCAGTGTCTAGTGTCTCCAGGATAGTGTCGCTCAGTTAGGTGTGCTGCTATGGTTACATGAAGGGCCGTAAAAAACAGCAGAAATTTCATAGTAGAGGTGACTGCAGTTGGCATTGCGAATTTTGGTGCAAAGTTCACTGCAGTGCACCCCTCCCCCTTCCTCGAATTTCTACAGTCCCTTATAAATTCACCCTTGGTGACCCTTGAGTGAGAAGTGCACCCTGAGCAGTGTTTTACTTTGAAACCCAAAATCTCAGCAACATCAGTCACTTCGATGGCCATGGTCATTCAGGTGTATCACAAAGTATAAAATGTGCTTCATAATCCATAAAATAAGAAGAGACTCAACTGCATTCCAGTGCCACTGCACAATGCTGTTATGGGGGATGCAGATGATACCCTGACCAGGGGCCTGTATCACAAAGCTGTATTTTTGGGTTAGCAAGATAACTTGTTGGATTTAAGGTAGTACGGGCTAAATGCAAGTGAACAAAGATGAAGTCCATTTTAACTGGGCCACCTTAAATCCGATGAGTTATCTAGCTAACCAACAAATCTCGGTTTGTGACAGAGGCTCCATGGGAGGGGAGTTCATAAGGGAGTACAGGCTAATGACAGAGGATGGAGGCCAGGAGCTGCTATACCTCTGCTTACACTCTCCCTGTGCGACTTCCCACCCTGTCAGAAACAGGGGGGGGGGCTCTGGATCTCCCCCCAAGTGCAAAGCTGCTTCCTGTGAAAACGCTGCCGTTTCATGTCTTATGGTGCCTTTCCACTGCCACCAGGCACCGAGTCGCACCCAACCCATACCGCCACCTGGCGGTTTTCCATTGCAAAGTATGCGAGCCGCACTGGAGCGGTACCGGCGCTGACGTGACCCGGCTTACTAACAGGGCCGAAAGCGTGACTAAACTGAGCTGGTTACATCGCCACCGTCTGATTGGCTGAGAGCGCAGAGACACAACTGATCTGTGCTGATAAGCATGGATTATCTGAAGGAAAAAAAATAATATTCTATATATTATTAATTATTAGTAGTATCACATATCACAATGTATTATTACATTCCCGATAACTCTGACCTCCTACTTAAAGTACTACAGAACAGTTAAACACAGCGGATTTGTCAGGAAAATTTACATAAGCAAGTGCTAATTCCACTAGCGTTTGAGGCTAATGTAACTCACCAATGTGTTATCCAAAATTACCACACAGTTATAAATAAATACAATAAAAAATGTTTAGGTTTTGCGAATATCTACTGTAAGAATTTGGTCACACTCGGTGGACAGAGGTCAATGACGCCACGAAGGGCCAGAAATAAAGGAAATTTATCCCATGTTACCTGCATGAGATTAACTGCCACACCTGAGAGGTCACACCTGTGGGTGCTCCCCCCCCCCCCCCCCCCCCCCCCCCCCCCCCCCCCCCCCCCCCCCCCCCCCCCCCC